ATAGTTTGTGAAAAGAAAAAAAAGAAAATAAAAAGTCTGAATTTCACCGTTGCTTTTTTTGTATAGTCATATATGGAATTATATTTTCTTATTTATTTTTAAATATTGATATTGGAATGTAGGTGATTTTGTTTTTTTGTTTCTCTTTCATCGTTATTAGAATTGGTTAACTGATCTTGAATTATTTGCAATATTTGTTGCTGCTATTGTACATGATTTTGAACATACAGGAACATCAAATAATTTTCATATTCAATCAAGGTAAATATTATATTCTATTTGAATTCATAGAAAACAAAAAAAAAATGAGTTATTCGACCATAGTGAATGTACTAAGTTCAAGGTACCTTGCTACCTATTTACCATAGAGAATTTTGGGAATTTTAGACATTTTTAGTATTTGACTGCAAAATGTTTCTAAGTGTTCGATCTATTAAATTGTTGAAAATTTTTTCATAGAATGTTATAGAAACTAAACGAATACCTGGCAAGCATTCATATACTGATGAGAGAAGTTCTCCAATTGTTCAATCGCTGATTGAATTGAGACTATGTGCATTATGTAGAACCAAATGAGTTATGAATATGTTGAAAAGAGTTCATGTCCTTAGCTTATTTCTGCGAAGATACTGCATTTTAACCGCATTTTGTAGATGACTGCAGGAATATCAAGAAAACTTATATTGGACTTCAAACTTTGCATAGAGACAACTCTTAATGAGAATAATTTATTGTAAAAGTTTTAACCCTTTTGATATTTGGTTCGATCTTGAAATAAGAACATAAGATCTAATGGTTTATATGAGCGATATATATGACACACTATTACCATAGTTGTTGTATCTAAAGCATTCACAAAAAAAAGATATTGTAAAAGCGCAGATGAACTTATATATGAAAATGATATTCTATTAAGCTGATGATAAATCAAATTGAACAAAATATAATAAATGAATGTTTTTTTTTGTAATAAAAACTATTTAATATATTTAGATCTGATGTCGCCTTAATATACAATGATCGAGCTGTACTTGAAAATCATCATGTAAGTGCAGCATTTCGATTAATGCGACAAGATGAATATAATATACTATCAGAATTTACATCTGATGAATATAAGTATGAAAAAAAAATTGTTTTCTTTTTTTGGTTTATTTCATTTCTTGATATTTTTTTAAGAAATTTTCGACATCTTGTTATTGAAATGGTGCTTGCAACAGATATGAGTTGTCATTTTGCACAATTAAAAACCATGAGAAGTCTTATAAGTATGCAAGAAAAGTAAGTTTATTCATATATAAACTTAGTATTATGAAGAAATAATTCAGAGAGATTCACTAGGAAGAATATTTCTGGCTTTCAGCTATCGTGCAACAGATTCAATAGCCTGATATTTTCTCCTTACTGACGAGACTATCTACGGATCTATTCGATAGGATGAATTATATCATATATTTGAAAATAAAACGTTTGTGAGAAGTGAAATAGAAATTGCGATTTCTCATAAATTTTATTTTTAAAAATTCAATTTATTTTCAAAAATAGTATTGAAAAAGCTAAATCATTAGCACTTATACTTCATTGTGCTGATATAAGTCATCCCGGTAAACCATGGGATATTCATCATACATGGACACAATCTTTAATGGAAGAATTTTTTAAACAAGGTGAAAAAGAAAAAGAACTTGGTTTACCTTGTTCACCATTATGTGATCGAGATAATACACTTGTTGCTGAATCTCAAATTGGTAAATATTTTAATTAATATATCTTAATATTTCATTGAGTTTGTTTTTTTTTTTGTTTTGAAAGGTTTTATTCAATATATTGTTGAACCATCATTTATTGTTGTTGGTGATATGTTAGAAAAAGTTCTTAAATCTCTTGTTGCTGCTGATTCTGAAGTTTTATCACCATCTATACCAAATAGAAGTATGACTTCATCACCATCACCATCAGCCGTATCATCAACGGAATTAAATCTTCAACATGATGAACAAAATGGGTACATAGAGAGAAAAAAAAAATATTTAAATAAAAAAGAAAAAAAAAAAAAAAATTCTTTTAGACTTGAAAGACGATTACCTTCATCAATGACAACACCAATACCTCGATCAACTATTGTTCGAAGACCATGGGCTGAGTATCTTAAATTAAATCGAGAACGATGGGTACAAGAAGCAGGTTAGAATAAAATAAAATAAATTATGAATTAAAACAAAAAATAAAAAATAAAACTTTTTCTTTATAGAAGAAGAAAGGCGCCGAAAACAATTAAATGTTATTGAAGAAGAACCATAATTGAAAAATTTCGTCAAAAATCTTTTAGCATTCCATATTGACATGCTCACACATAATGTTTATTTTGTTATTGTGTGCGACTTATCAATTATCATTATCGAACATTTCAATAAATAATAACAGTATTAATGTCAATAATTATATATAGATGTGTGTATATTTTTATGTTTTAAATCCTGCCTATAAGAAAAAAAAGACTTAGTTGCGCTTCAATAATGCTTTTGTTTTCGTTTTTTTTTCTCTTTCTGCTATTGTTTATCAAATTTTAGTTAACAATATGTTTTTCTAGTAAAGTGTTTTATGTTTAATTTCATTCGTTTGTTAAGAGCAAGAATATTGAATATATTTATTATGCGAACAAGTAATTTAAAATAGTTTTTGATGTTTTATTGAGTTTAATTCAATTGAGATATCTTATTGAAAGATTTGAAAATTTTTGATAATAACTTAAATAATTGTGTTGAACGAATAATTAGACATATGCGAAAACAAGACTCTAGATAAATGCAAGGAGGAAACTAGTAAGTCAAAATTTGATGACTATCAAAACAGTATCAATGGAGTTTTCAAAAGATATTCTACAAATGTTCGTAATTTTTCGTGAGTTGAGTGTTCTACCTATTTCAGATGAGTACTACTTTTTATTTATTGACACAATACAAATGCGGAATAATGAATCGAATTTGCGATTGGGTACATCCTCGAAACAGCCTAGTGTGTCATCGTGTAAATCAAAATAACACTACCATTACGGCTACAAAAAAATCTTTGGCATTTATCCTGATGTTGCTTGGAGGAGATTTATTCCTTTTGGTACTTAATTTCTTCCGTTTCTTGCTTGAATTTTCTGTACTACATGAGTCATTTCCATAGAACCGTCTGGGTCAGAGCGAGTAACACAATAATAAATTGTAATAAAGTGTCCTGCAATCCAACCGGCTACCTGGTCTCAGTGCTGCTATGAGTTGGTCGGATTGATTTGAATGTTGAATATGAAAAAAAAAAGATCGCCATGTTGAGTCCGAGTATGATTTCATATCCGAATTCTACCTGATAGTTACATCGATGCTGCTAATGAATCATGATCCTAATTGATCAAAACTATGGCCTTTTTTTTACAGGTATCAATGTGAAAAACTGTTCGATCGTATTGACTTGAGAATAATTGATATTAATAAAATTAGATGTTTTTTAATATTTGTGATAAGTTGTATAATGACTTGATCTATAATATCAGTGTCATCAGCAACAGAAGAAAGTTTGTTTAGTAATACTGAAGGAATTTTTAGAATTGGAAAGACAGCAGATAATATGAAATGTACTATGATTGAAAATATTTATCAGGTGCTCGGTATGGATGACTTCACCCGGTTCGAGTCTGTGTATGAAAAACTGTATCTATTCAAGACTCTGATTTAATATGCTTAAACAATGAAATAGGAAATTAATCAATAAATTTGATTAACAAGATTATCATCATATCATGATTAGTTTTTTATTTCTTCTCTATAAAAAACGATCTATATTATTTAAATAGGATGCTTCTTAGTAGATTGCTCTAACTCAATTCATTGCATTCGATCATTACAAAAAAAAAAATTCAAATCCAGTAGTTGCATCGTAGTTTCCTTTCGTTAACGTTTATCCAGGACAATACTAACAGCTATCGATAATTTTCACTGTTTACGGCAAGATACAGCACGAAAACGAGTCATATTTTATCTTAATATAGTATCGTATACGATCATATCTATGCTATATTCTCATTAATACGACTGTAAAACATCGGCCTAAGTTACGGTAAAATAAGATGTGTAAACGACTCGTATTTTATCGTAATATATTCGATCAAGGTAGTGGCGTTTTCAAAAAAAAAATTTATAACGTAAACTTCTCGAGTCTATCGACTAGAGCCCGTCGGGTAGGACCCGGACCCGTACCCGACCCGGACCCGCTCGGGTCCGGGTCCGGGTTCGGGTCTAAAAATTTCGTTTTGGCCGGGTCCGGGTCGGGTTCCGGGTCTGAAATTTTTTTGTGACCGGGTCCGGGTCGGGTCCAGATCTGAAGAAAACTTTGATGCATACAATGTATTGTGAATTTTTTCAAAGTTTTGTTCGTTTCATGAAGAAAAAAATTGAATGTATTTAGAAAATATACAAAAAAGCAACAAAAGACTTTTTGAATATATTATCGAAACTGATTTATCATCGTGGTTGGATCCAAAAAATTTAAGCGGCCGGGTCCGGGTCGGATCCGGATCCAACTTTTTTTGAACAAGCGGGTCCGGGTCGGGTCCGGATCCAACCTTTTTTAAACAAGCGGGTCCGGGTCCGGGTACAAGTGTAGCAAATTGTAAACGGGTCCGGGTTCGGGTCCAAAAATTTTGGACCCGACGGGGTCTACTATAGACTAGCAACGTTCGTGCACAAATAGCATTCTTAAATTTTTGTTGTAATGTTTTAGCGCCATCTATATTTCTTAAATGTGCAAATATTTGTAAAAACTATATTAATATTTACAAGAAAATATTTAACACCTCAATTTATTTTCAAAATAAAAATAAATTAAACACAAAAAAATTTTCTTCATCTAACAAGAAAAACTGCGGGTCTTTGTTTCATGTTCAGTCATTGTTATTGCTTCGTTTTTTTTTGTGTCTTCATTCACTACATTATTCTCTTTCTTTCAATATCAGAACTATGGATTCCACAAATATTATCATACCATTTGATTATCCATTTGCTATTTTGGGTAATACCGTTTCTTTTCGTTTTTTTTTCTTTTAAGCTCAACAATTTCTTTTAGAACATCGTCATAATTCTGATCCAAATAATAAACTTGTTTATGCTGTTGCTGATGGCCAATATACATATGGTCCACTTTCATTATATCAGTATTATAATGATGAAAAATATTCTAAAACGTAATAAGAAATTTTCTATATTTTCATTTCAAATAAGTATTTCTTTTTTCTTCTAGAATTCGAAATGATGAATTACCACCATCATTACCATGCAAAGTAAAAAAAAAGGATAAACTATGAATTCGTTTTATTTAGATTGACTTGTTTGTTTTCTGTTGAATAAAGGAATATTATATTGTTGAATCAGGTTTTTCAACTGATGATGCCATTGAAATAATTGATGAAAATCGTGGACTTATTTATGTCAAAGAAATGATATCAATTGATGATGAAAATGATGAATCTATTGTAACGATTGATCAAGAGCCTGAACAAGGTTTGATTTTTTTTTGGGAAATCAATTCTGTTGTGTAAAAAAATTTTTTTTTTTTAGTTCATATGAAAGAACTTTTTAAAGAAATGGCTGAATGTAAAAATGAAATTCGAAGTCTTAAATCTATTGTAAGATATAATCGATTCTGTTAAACAATAAAGTCATTTTCTTTTTGTCTTCTTTAAGGTTTTATCAGAAAATCGTTTTACTAAACGTCGATCAACTTCAACAGGTAAATAAATCAATAATAATATATTTCTTTTTTTTTTTTGGTTTAATAAATCTATTTCTGTTATTTAGATTCACCCGGTTTTCGAAATATAGAAAATAATGCAAAATGG